ATCGCTCGTAGTAAGTAAAAACGCAGTCAAATTCTCTCAAAAAAAAAAAAAAAAAAAAAACCTCACCTTACTCCCACAGTGCAGTAACCTCTATTAAAATGAATAAAGACACCGATAACTGAGAGGTCTAAACTGGGTACAGGCAATTTACATTTTAGTAAACGACAAACAAAAGCGTTTTTCAAAGTGAGCCAGCGGTTCCTCCCTGTTTTGATATGAACTAAAAATCATTGGAGAAGCATAAAAACCTCTTTCGCCTGCGACATTGAGAAAGCGAGAAAATCCTGTGAACACGCCGAGGCCAGAAAATGGCAAGCAAAAGTTCAACTAAACAAGACGAAGAAGCGACAACGGAAGAAGTGCCTGGGTCGATTGTCCTATACACAGAGGAAGAAATAAATACCTTTAGTCGCGATGTTCAACTTTCAGCACTTTCGCTTGGACACTTCATTTCTTTCAATTTGCCACCAAAGAGGTAAAAGAAGTAAATTATTTTCCTTCTCGAGCAAATGATTTGGAAATTTGAAAAAAGATGTTAAAGATAAACGGCTTATAAATTCAGTGAAATACTACTATTATCTTCAAGATAATGTGAAGCTTGTTAAAAAAAAATTTGAAAAAAAAATGTCAAAACAATCACAAGGTAAAAATAAATTTTTCGAAGATTCAAACGTGTACGACTTACTTTGCTTCCTATTCGCTAACGCAATAACAGTTCTGACAGTTGACTTTGAAATGGCTTTCTGGGGCACGCGCTCAGGATGAAAACAAACAATATTAATACTGTTTTCTTCTTCTTTTTATTCAGTTACGTGATGCAAGAAAAACTCCATGCTTGACGGGTGAATTCCACGTTAAATTTCACTTGAAAAACCGATATCGCACGAATCGCGAAGCAAGGAAGCAAGCAAAAAGTTATTTTCCAGCTTCTGAGAAAGTTTTGTTTCCATCTCACCCACACCATAAACAGTTTTGATCGTCTCTATATTTCATTAGTGTTTGTAATTTGTTCCTGATTCCGAGAACGTTGTTTCAGTGTATCCATCGAATACCTTTGATATAACAGTCTAGTATTTTATATGCGTAGGGTATATACATTTCATAAACTGTCTGGTCCTACAGTAAAACTCCGTCTGTTAAATGACTGTAAATATATGAAATCATATATGCGTACTGCGGTCTTAGAAATGAACTTGGAAGCGATCTTCGAAGTACTGAACACTACTTAAGCAGTCGAGAAAATATGGCCTGAAAAAATTCAGGCCTGTAAGGGATTTGAACCCATCTTATTAATTAAACTTTAGATATGCACGAACTTTAGAATTCCTAAAAATATCTTAATCTTTTTAGTTTCGTTTTTGTCTTAACATGGTTTAAGTAAGTATAAGTACACAAGGTTGCAGACGGAATAGGAAATTACCGCTGGCATGTACATTGCTCAAAAAGTCTTTGGTCAAGCTAGATGCGCATGATTCGGGCAACAGAATATAAAAGAAAACCATTAAGAGTAATACGTTTAGCTTGAGTTTAAAAAATAATTTTCTACTTACTTTCCATGTAACCTCGCGGCTCAATTGTACGTTTTATCCCTTCTCTTCCCTTAATTAGGATGCTGCTGTGCCTTTTTCTGGGCGTTTCCGTAACTTATCTCCGTAAACCACAATCCGGATTGCATCAGCTGGACTTAACATCAGAATTTGTACGTTGCAGGTAAATGTTCTTTGCGACGAAAGAACACACACCCACTCGCGTAATTATACTAAATGTGTACTTTGTGGTTAAAGGCGAGATCTCCGATAATGAAATCCCCAGAAATCAATGAAACACAATGAAAGGAACATCGCTCATTTCGTAACTCATCGCCAGAAAAGTAGAATCAGAACGCGCACATAAAATGTGACACGAGTCACCTAGATGTCTTTGGGCTTAGTATCGATCATTCTATTATTAGCGAAAATTTTTTTAGATAAGAGTTGTTAAATTTTCCGTGGAGCGACATTTTCTTCGAATGTACAAGCTGCCTATTTATGATCATACATTTCCGATGTTTTTTCAATGCTTTTCTTGGCATGAAACAAACAAACTTCGGTTCAGTTTTGCGAATTTTGTTTAGTTGCTTTTTGCGACGCCGCATTGTATGTTAATGAGTCAAGGATCTGGGCAGATGCGACTTAAATTTTCTGTTTTCTACTCATATGTAAGCGTAACAAACCTTACATATATCCATTCGATAAAGAGTAATATTAGAATGTTTTGGGGCAAAATTTGTTTATTTTTTGTTTGGAACTCTGCCCGGTTTTGAGGGTCAGACATGTCTCGATGCGGTCAGAAGATTAATAGCTCATTTGGCACCCATTTTGGATCCACTTTTCTGGCGATGACAACTTATTGTTAATTAAATCGTTTAACGACAGTATCAGTCAGATTGATGCGCCATAATATGATTATCAATATAATTTGATTGGGTTGACAGTGAGAATGAACTGACTACAAACATGGCTTCGGTAATTTCCTCAGCGGCGAACTTTGGCTCGGACTGGACAAGATACACCGTCTTAGGCGAATTAAGATAGAAAACGGACCTCAAGTAGATTTTGGAGTGACTGCTAAAAAATTCTGTCCACGCTGGGTATGATTGGTTCGGAGTTAGTGACGGCTACGTATCAGTTGAGCCTGAGAAATTTGTTAGATAAGGTGATCTGCTTCTTTTATTAATCGTCGTCATCATCAAATTAACAGCAATACTGCTTTAATTATGTCTGTATCGATTTCCTTTATGCTGTTTCCTGGTTTAATTTAGCCAAACGGCATGTAGTATAACATGGATGATGTTTTGTCCTGCGAATGGAGCACAAGTAAATATATTGTTCTCGCAGATGATCTGCAATTGGAAAGTCGAGAAAGAAAAAAAAAAGGCCTAAAAAATTCAGGCTATGACAAGAATGGGGCCTTTGCCCTCGAGATAGTAAATGGGCGCTACTATCACTGAACTGTGTTGCAAAGCCACATGTTATCAAATTCTAGAAGGTTCTTCGACTTCGTTCCCGTAGCCTGCAGTGCCGGCGTCCTATGAGGGCGAGCTGACGTTATGAGCTCGCGATCGTTCATCCCACCGGCCATGTTTGATTTGGAGTTAGAGTGGACGGTGGGGGTAAGGGGCGGGAGAAGGGCGAGAAGAAGCCTAAGGAGGCTGTGGAAAAGTAAATAACCCCCTGTTTAGTTGCGCGTCACCGCATTTCCGGAAATGAGCAGGTAACCAATCAAAACGAGTTAAATGAAATACCGGAAGCACTGTCTTCCGACAAAAATAAACATACGTAGAGCCGATGAGTGAAACGGTGAGGTTTTCATCAGCCAGGAAAGAAATGGCTTCCACAAAACCTCCTCCGCGGTCTTAAATGTGAGCCGATATTTGCTGCAGTCTTTATTTTCCAAACGACAGTCCTTGAGTGTAACTGCCGTTAATCTATTTGATATATTAAACTAATGTAAGAACGATACAATTAGTATTTCAAAAGCTCTAGAATACCTTGCGTGCGAAAAATTTCGTGACTTTCAAACTAGGAAGCTAAATGGGGATAGATAGATCATGTTTCATAGGAGTACTACATCCTTAATGCATATCCGCTTATGAAAAATCACATTATTGAAGGATCCTTGCGTGAATTGAGGTTGGTGACCCTCCAACTGCAAAGGGACATAAAAATATGCATTTCAATACCTATATAAGCTAGAGCAAAAGAGGATTCTGAAAGAGAAGAAACAACCCTTACTTCAAGCTTTTCTTGTATACTTTAATTTAGATAGGAATATCAAATACCTCACTAATGTCCGTTGATAAACAACGAAACAAACAAAAAAAAAATAAAGTAACATCACATAATCTCTTTAGTCAATAGGAATATTAAATCCATAACAGACTTCCCTCGATAAGGAATTAAAAAAAAAATGAATGATAAAAGAAAAGAAAAAAGAAAAACGAAACAATACGAAACGAAAGAAAACAAACATGCAAACAAAAATTGAGGGAGCTTTGCATGCGGAGGAAACTGATGCTCCGTCTTTCATTGGAGAAGAAACGTGATGCTTGTGTTCTTATCGGTATAATCAAGCAGGTGATGACATCCTCAACTTGAAGTATACACGACAAATTTACTTAAAATTTCGTGATCATTAGATCTGACGCATTATGGAAGGAACTTAACTCATATATATGCAAGAACTTTAGCAACCATAAAACTTTCGTTGTCGTTATAGTCTCGTTTTTGTCTTTAAATAGTTTAATCCGACATAAACGCTTGCAATGAATGCGTAACTTACCATTAACACATGCACATTGATAGTTCTTATGAGCAAGATGCTTATAATTCGGGCAACAGTATCCAGAAGAAGATTGTTAGAAATTTCCGATCCTTAGCAACATTGACTCTACAGGCTAGTTCACCTGAAATAAATCTGCAGACATACTTATTCTGTCTGACATGATCGTCACGCGGGTCAATGCAGATAGACCTCCTCGAACAAGAGTTGGCCATTTCAATCAACCCGCTCGTTTTCCACCTAAGAGACCAAGACTTCTTAATCGAAAAGGCAAACATAAGCTCACAAGGGAAAATTCAAAATCAATTCGATCAACTTATTTAAGTACAATTGGACATTTTGTCAAATTAGTATTTACTAACTTAAGGTTGTTTGCGTGCAGGGAAATATGTCAACGCCAAACCCCAAAGGAAAATACGGCAGATATAAAACAATTGAAAAAGCCTTGCGTGCGGAGAAATAATGACCTACACTTGATACAACAGCTGGAAACGTATCCGGACCATTTACGAATGTCATGTCCGTACTCAACACCAAACCTAAAAGGAAAATACGGAAGTTATAAAACAATTGAAAAAGCCTTGCGTGCGGAGAAATGATGACCTACACTTGATACAACGGCTTGCAACGCATCCGGACCATTTGCGAATGTCATGTCCGTACTCTTGATACCAGGTACGGGGCATGCTTATAAAAAGTTAGAATGCACTCTGCTCGGACAGAGTGTAAGATCCTTCGATCTACCTAGAGGCAGTGCCCGAGAACTCGCTGAATCTGCAAGAAATTTCTGTAGCACATTTGGAAGGCCACATCCCTTGCAAGTAAGAACCAATTCCTGGTTAGATTTTTTAATTTGATCGGTGCCTGATTTTTTTTTTTTATCGGTTCATTTACTGAATTTTACTCCTGTCTGAATTTACATTGCACTATAACCGATTGCAGTTTATACTGAGTTGGATTGAGCTTCAAGCATGAGAATGACTTCTGTTTCCCTAAGTTGGACTTTACTGCTTGTGGCGCTTTTCATAATGACAAAACGTTTCGCTTCGACGCGTGGAGCCCCTTGCCATAATGACACCCGAGGATCCCTGAAAGAAATACAGAAACAACTTGGACGGCTTCAATTGCAAGTTAAAATTCTAAAGGAAAACAAAAGAACAAGGATATGTAAGTTAGATCATTTTCCTTGTGTATGGTCACGTGATGATTTCATGCTTTTTGCGATTATGACGAGAGTAGGAATTCACCGGTAAAATCGTCAGTCCCAGTATCATTAGGTGTGAGATATAATCATGAAATTTTAATAAATTATTTATTACGATTTTTTCGGAACAAAGTTAGGATGACCCATTTGACAGATTTCAGCAATTCTTTTAGTACCACTCCATCCTCAACTAAGGGACAATAAATCCTCCCTTGGTCACCAATAAATTTACCTGTTAAGACCCCGGACTTAACTTGATGCTTTCCCAACTTTTAATAGTAATACATTTGCAGACCTGTATCACTTCATACACCAAATATGCAGCTGTCTTTTTACTCCAATTACCACATACAAGTTCTCTCCAGCGATAATGTCATCCTTCATCGTGATACCGGGATATTAACCCTAACTCCAAGACTCGAAAACAAAAACTCAAACATTTATTTACAGGTATTCCAATGAAAATACACAAATGTTTTAGTAATCAAGCCGAATAAACATCCAGTTAGACAATAAGGCGGGTTTTCTACGAACAGAAATAACACCTTTAGCGAGCGAAATTACAATACGTACGAAATGCGATAGAACTTACTGACTGTTCCGAGTTAAGACCATTATTGACCATAACTCAACAATTTTAGGTAGCAAAATATGCCAGTACAAACACGGCGACTAGTTCTTTTCCGACAAAGCACATGGCCGATGTCCCAGATGTTGACGTCAAAATGCATGCACGCAATGGGAACTACAGATTCTGTTTGTATCTGGAAAAAAATGTAATAAATAAATAAAGGACACTTAAGCTTGCGTGTAGAAAATTACAAGACCTACAAGCTTGAAAGCAAAATGGACATAGAATATTAGGCTTTTATTATCCAACTGTACAAAGTAGAGTAAAAAAAGCGCGCGAATAGAGCACAAACATCTTATGCGGTTAGGCTATATGGACAGTTTGTTATTTTATACTCTAATTAACAATTGGTTCATACGTCAGCATGCGTTCATCGAGATATGAAGCACTTAGGAAGTTTGGACCCGATGGAAATTTTTTTTCTCGAGGGATTTGTTTGCTGACGTCATGTTCGTGCACAATAGGAATGAGAAGCACGCTCGCGCAATTGAATTTGATTAGACAAATTTACTAGCTATGTTATAAAAGAGCTTATTTAACCAGTCGGCAGCGCACGCTACGCTTCTCTATCCACTTTGCTTTTCCGCCGTATGAGAAATGAGCAGAAAAATAAAAGCAGTTGGATAATAAACAACTTATTAAACGTTTTGTTGTATAGTATTGCTGAGTATTTCTATTCGTTCTTTGCCCGTAGGGCGAGTCAAATACGGTACAACTCGTAAAAATGCTCAGCGATACTACACCCCAAAACGCCTGATAAGATATATTTAGAGGAATATTTCATCCCCCAGAAGAAACAAATTATTGAAGGAGCCTTGCGTGCAGAGATACAGATGACCTTCCTACTTCAATGGGACACGAGAAAGCGGAAATGGATACTGAAAGATGGGAGAAGACTTTAACTTTCTAAGTTTTCTAGACACATTACATTCCTGATATCTAATTCCTGATACCCGACTCGATTTTTTGTATTTTGAATCGCCCTGCAGGCTTGTCAAAATACGGCACAACTCATAAAAATTCTCAGTGATAGTATACACCAAAACGTGTAATAAAATATATTTCTCCCAGCGACCTGTGTAATTATCGCTCGACACAACGCAGAACAAAAATCGACTGTTTTATCAATCCCCTATTTTTTTCACTTAACGGACCAAAGACACGTGTAATAGAAAAAAAAAACCTGAACTTATGAGTTAAAGGGAAGTTTCAATTTAACTCGAATCACTTCCATAAGAAAAATTGGACATTTTGTCAAATTCGTATTTACAGATTACGTTGCTCTGCGTGCGGAGAAATTAACTTCTTACCTTCCATGGTTTAATTAGATGTTATGTCCTCTCGAAAAGTAAGAAATTAAACAATTGAAGGAGGCTTGTGTGACTTTCCAACTTTTAGATGAAAGGGAATGTCATCAATATTTCAGAGGTATTTTCATTTAGACTCCTGGACGCCCCTGGATAATTCATAAGCACTTACTAAATAAATATGTAGAGAGGTCAGATTCCGAGGCGCCTTAAACAGCTAAAGCGTATAGGAAATTTGGCGGAGCAAGAGTTTTGAATAGATGATTAATTTGGGATTCATTGTAACCTTCTTTGCGCAAAGTTCTTAAGATATGTAGGCATTTTACGATGGCTCATAGAGGACATGCCACATATTTTTTATCGCGTGATAAAATCAAAATATCGCGCGACAAATAAAGAATAATACATGGGCGCGCGTCGATACGGAAGTTCCCTTCAAGTGTTTAACTCGATAGATCGAGAACACGAGAAGATAAATTCCATATCTACAAGCAACCATGTATTATATTGTTTATCATATAAGCACAATAGCCCTATTCTGAGAAGAAAAGTCGACTTTATCAATGAATGAAAATAAATGAATCGACAATCGTAGAGTGCGTTAGCGCTAACTCTTCAGAAGGAAAAATGCGTTGAATGATGATGTCAAAAACAACAATGATCGTAATTTTATATTTACAAACTTCTCATTTATTGACTTTTTCCTTACCGACAGAAGAAGTCTTTCGGGTAAACTGCCAAAATCGGCCAGTGGCAAATCTTCCCACTGTTGATTTTCAGTCATTCCCAGCCGAGGGAAATGGCAACACCAAAGCCACTAAATTCGTAACTTTCGGTTTTCCTTTTTGTATATTGGTTTTCTTCCTCTTCTAGAAAACTTTCAACCTCACTGTCGATGAGCGATACAATTTTTTTAGTGTTTTAGCAGCCATAATTCGACAAACATCCGACAAACTATTTGTAATGAGAATCGAGAGGGTTTGCGGTTCATTCATCAACCTGACTGAGTGGCGCCAAAGGCGAGTAACCTGTCAGCAGCTTATTGACTATATCAACACAGGTGAAAAAATACGATATTTTTTCACGTGTGTTGTTAAGGCTTTTCTCAGGGCCGGAAATCCTTGTATAACACCGCAGTTTATGTGAATGGGACAATGTGATGTATTATATAATGTGACGTCAAATTTCTTGAAGGGCGCCAATTCTGCTCGGATTCAATATAAAGAAAGGTCTTCCAAAACTTATTCATGCTAAGAAAATAAATGCTGAGCCAGTGTGAGATCGCATGAAATTTGCGATTTAGAGGAGACACACAAAGAGGACAAAAAAACACAGGTTGAAAGGTGATGTCAGTTCGTTTCTTCTTCTCTAACCTTTTTAATTCTGTTTCCCAGTTAGTTTGCGATGATATCAGAGATAAGAGACGCCTCCTAGACTACTGCACACTGCAGATCTGAATGCAATTCAGCTCATGAAACTCTGTTTTTCTTCTTTAGCCAAGAACTGTGCTGAGCTGTATAAATCCGCTATGAGAGTCAGCGGTGTCTATACAATCGACCCTGATGGTTCTGGTGCCTTTGATGTATACTGTGACCAGACAACAAGTGATGGGGGGTGGACTGTATTTCAAAGAAGACTTGATGGCTCTGTCGATTTCAACCGCACCTGGGATGAATACAAATATGGCTTTGGCAATTACCTCAAAGGAGAGTTTTGGCTCGGATTTGACAAGATCCGTCGCCTGACAAGAAATGAAACAAAAAATAGACTCCGAGTGGATCTTGGAGTAGCCCCTAATAAAGCGGTGCACACTGAATACGAGTGGTTTGGATTAGGAGAAGAAAAAGATAAGTACAGGTTGAGCCTTGGAAATCTATCGGGTAAGTCAATAGTCTCTTTGTTTATTATTCGTTCAAGTAGAGGAATCGTTGAAGTGTCTAGAAGGAACGGTTCCAATCGCGTCAAAGCCTGACTTCAGTTTTCAGGCCTGTTTACAGCAATTTCTTTAATTACAGCTTACCTGTGAAGAACCTTTCTTTACTCGTAAGTACGTCACACCCTCCTTTCAAGTGATAGCTGAAATTCAATATCATCGCGGAACTCCAGGCGCCCATCATGGACTCCCGGGAACTCTAAGTTTTCTTTGTTCTCTCACCCTCAGTTGTTTAAGATGATTTCTTTGTCTGATTCTTACACTTGTTCACAATATATAAAAGGGAAACTATTTGTTTATTTTTCATTTATTCAAATTTTACATATTCATTTTAGAAGGCTCGACAGTTAACGATTCTCTCCACCCTCATATGGGCCTGTCTTTTAACACATGGGACAAGAATGATTGCGCTTCTTCTGATCGCATGAATATTGGAGGAGGATGGTGGTACATGAGTAAAAAGAGCTGTTCTTTTGCCTCAAATCTCAACGGTGTTTATCGAGGGGACGGAAGGGGAAAGTTTCATTGGGGATTCTTAGTTCCTGACGAGCCAGAACTCACCACTCCCCAAACATCAGAAATGAAAATCAGACCAGTTGACTATTCGTAGATTTTTTTTTCTTCACGAATTATTTTGGCCACGAATATATTTTGCTAGGAAGTTTGATGGGGTTGGAAGGCAGAGAAAAGAAATAAAGGAGACTAGCTGGTGAACTATATAAGACCATAAGAGGCAGCGAAGCCTTGTTTTATTAATGGCATCTTCACAAGGCAACTCTTTAAGTGAACCAGTTTTGTCAGTCGCTTTTCCTTCATACCAAGCTTTATCATTATAAGCTACTAGCATGTATCTAAGGCGATTCGTTGTTGATATTCTCCTTTTTTCACGAAATCTAAATAATTAGATGTTAATATCGCTAATACCTTGGTATTAACGTTAGAAACGACCCTGTTAATGTTGACTGGGATATATTATATCGGTAAAGAGTGCTCTACCCTTCCGAGCAACCGGAGACACAAAATCCCCGCGTCGAGAGTTGAATTTCTGACCAATTTTCTGAATATTGTTGTTGATGTTTTTTTATTTTGTTTTTGTTGTTTTGTTTTTGGTTCTTGTGTGAACTGTATCACCTCAAATGGCTCAGAACAATTCTATTTAACTCCCTAATCTACTTTTTTCCTCAGGAAAAAAAAAATGAGCGCACTTTCCGGTCAAAAGCCTAAAAGATTGTCATTGCTTGATGAGTTCTATGACTACTATTTTTAATATAGACTTTCTAGACACATGATCATGATCACTAGGAATATTGGGAGGTGGTGGCGTAAACCTTCTGCAAGGGGAACAAGCAATCATGGCGTAGTTTGTTTGTTTTTTTTTGGTACCTGTTTTGCTTGCCCTTTATCAATCGATATAAGATCATAACTCTTTTTAACGTTAAGAGAATATCAACTCTAATAATCTATTGTTTTCGTATAACTGTAACTGCCAACTGTTTTTAGTCTTTAGTTTACCTACTGCACATCGGCGTTGTTTTTATGAGTGAAAAGGCGAGATTCATTAGCAGCCATTCGTTCTTACTGAAGTGGGTTAGATAAAAGTTTTGTTCGACTTTTTGATGACATTAACTGCTTTATCCTATAAGGTTGTAGTTTTAAGAAAATGAACGACACTTTTTAAAAACATTTTTCGACAGTTCTTCTGTCATCTTCAGTTCTGAATGATACAAAGTTCAACGTTGAATTCAAATGTTGATTGGACAAGACAAACATTGGTAACAGAATAACCAATGCATTTACAAGGAAAGTTTTAAATTAACATTATAAAGTTGATGATTAGGTGTAGGTTTCTCCCCTTGAATGTGGATAGCTTCTTTGATTTTAAGTTGAAAAGTTGTGGAAGCGTGATCTACAAAATTCTCTCTATTATTCAGAACTGAAGATGACAGAAGAACTGTCAAAACATGTTTTTAAAACGTTTGACACCCGAAGATATAAACATAGGCATGCTATGCAAGCAAGAATTACTTTTTGGGGGTGGGTGGATTACTTGAAACATTGCAAGTGATGTCTACATCTTCAGTTAACAAAAGGAAAGAAGAGTATCAACGTGGAAAAGAACGAAAATGGCGAATTAACTGACACACAGGTATTTCGTGGTAGATTGTGTGTGTTGTACGAATAACTGTAACCAAAAATAAACTGTATTGGTGCCACGGATACCTGTAGGTAAAAAATGCAGACTGCAGACTGCAGACCGGATACAAAATGTAGACTAGGTACAAAATGTAGATTGCAGACTGCAGACTGCAAACCGGATACAAAATGTAGACTAGGTACAAAATGTAGACTGCAGACTGCAGAATGGGTACAAAATACAGACTGAGAATCTAAAGAGTTTTTTCGTTTAGTGATAGCATGTCATCTTACAACTTACCGAGCGTCACGCAATCGCTTTTCCGTGATCATCCTTCACGATTATTTGCACTACTGTGGAATATTCCTGGTCCATTTCTTGATCAAAATCGATCTTAATATAATTTCAAACCCTCATGTAGTCTTCTCACTTTGCGCGCGAGTTGGTTGGTATGATGTCTGTACATATTTTACCAACGTAATAAAATTAGATGTAGATGTAAATGAGATGTCACTATCATTGAATATTTGACACGCGCAACATTCGAGAAACAATTGACAGCTTTGCACGTGGTCGTATTATCATCTTTTTAAGCGGTATTTGTTTATTTTGTTGACGAAAATGCAGACTGAGACCAAAACTGTTCCTTCGACTGGGTATATTTTTCGACGCTAGTAGATCACATCATATTAACTTACCTCCGTAAATCATTCGTCCCAGATAACAAAACCAAATAAGCATACTAACGATGGTATGTGAATTCGTCCTTGTCCAAACACAAACGACTCCACAAGATCACTTTCTTCAGGCATCGAAAACACACACAAAATCGTCCATAGTTAATTTTAATCAGACATTCAGCCAGAGATAGCAACGAGCAAACCAATTCAGAAATAAATAATCAGCACACTCAACAAATCATGAATCTTGCAACAAAGCTTGCCGTTAAAGAACTGCTCAAATCAAAATGTTCGGTGCAATTCATCTACACCTAAAAATTTTTCTACTCACTCTCGTCGTGAAGGAACAATAACCATGATCGTGCTACAATGCACAGGACTCTATTTTCTCTCGAACAACTATCCACCATTTTCACAGCACGAGTAACAAGTTTACTATAGGTAATCTGACATCTTTCATCTGTTCAGTAGTATCGCATTTCTCATAAAGCGCGGTAAAATACATGTACATGTTTAAAACACAGAAAAGCCAACATTTCTCATTCTAAAAGATGATTCTATTTGGAACCGCTCTCTCCGAATACCCCGTTACTTCGTTGAAATTTGAACACTTCTCAAACCAAAGAACAAAAACGACGCTCTGATTGGTGCGAGATACATACCTTAATGCGGCGATCTATTTGGTGCGTGATACATACCCTAAACGATCTGATTGGTGCGAGCAACATACCACCCTCTATTCGCTAACATAGATGTTATTAAAAAAAAAAAAAAAATGGTAGCCATGTTGACTGATTTGTGAGAACTTCTTGAATGCTCATTTTTTCTATTTTATGATGTATTGAGCATTGTCCACTGGGAAAGAGTCCACGTCCTGCTTGTTATTTGAGGACCATTTTAATATCAAAATTGTTTGATTGAAAACCTGTTGTTTTGTTTTCTTTCTCCCATTAAAGTAAAACCGTGCATGAACTACATAACATTCTGGCGTGACACTTTGTCACATAACTCGTTATGATGAATATTCATCCCAACTCATGATTAAAATCCGTCCTATGCGAGCCGACATTACTATTAGAATATATATCACCGACTGAGCCAAATTGAGCTTTTAGTTAGCGGCATAAAATCTTACAATAAACATATATATATCACCGACAGAGTCAAATTACGCTGTTAGTTAACGGCGTAAAATCTTATAATATAAATATATTTATCGCCGACTGAGCCAAATTATGCCGTTAGTTAACGGCCAAACACAAATATACACACACACAAAAGAAAAAAAAAAAGCAAGACAAGACATTCGAATTCAAATTAGGTTGCAATGAATTTCTTGGGTTTTCGTTGGATGATTAGAAGTGCGAATGGGGCGCGGTTCGTAACCAAAAGAAGCACACATACCACTGCAGTTACGGTTATGATTAACTACGGTGAGAAAGTTGTTACCGACGCAATACCCGTGAAAGTTGTCGCATACCCTGTCACTTTTCAAGTTTGACTGAGAATTCGTTGCGGTACTTACTAAGGTGACCTCACTAAGACATAATAGAAAAAGAAGAAACACTCCCGCAATGCAACGGATATTGTAGTTGCAATTAACGAAGGCATTAGATACCCGTACAAGAGTTCACTATTTATTAGCGAAATGAAAAAGGAAACAAGGAGTACCTGTGGTGGATAAAGCCTTCTGAGTAGTATTTAAACATAAATTATACATATTGTAAGATTTTTTCCACAACCGTAATTGGGCTCAGTCGCTGTGTAAAAATACTGTAAGATTTTACGCCGTTAACTAACGGCGTCATTTGGCTAAGTCGGTGTAAATACATGTTGTAAGATCTTACGCCGGTAACTAATGGCGTAATTTCATTCGGGTCAATATCTTCCGCTCTGTATATTTATATTCTTTAAGAGTTTACACCGTTAACTTATGGCGTAATTTGGCTCAGTTGGTGATATATACTGTAATATTTTACACCGTTAATTAACGGCGTAATTTCTTCCGGTCTGTATATCTATATACTGTAAGAGTTTACGCCGTTAACTAACTGCGTAATTTGGCTCAGTCGATGAAACATATATCGTAAGATTTTAAGCCGTTAAATAACGGCGTAATTCGGCTCAGACGATAAATATACATGCTGTAAGATTTTAACCGTTAACTATCGGCATAATTTCTTTCAATTGGTATATGTACATACTGAAAGATTTCACGCCGTTTACTAACGGCACATTTCAGCAATTTAGTTTAAATGGTTTTGTAATCAACCGTTATTTGATGAATTTCAACCAAACGTTTCAGTGCATTGTATCATAAAAGCCGTTGAAAAGAATGATTTGCCTTTAAATACCTTGATAACACAGCGTATTTTTCTCAGATGGAAACGCCAATAATTCTCTCATTAATATAACGAGGCTCAGTTTATAAAAGTACAAAGAGGACCATACTAAAAACGTGCTGACAGATTCCGACTTCTATGTATCCTGATGATAGCCGGGGAAGTTCAAATTTTAACAATTTTTTTATTAGCGACACTGCCCTTCCGACACAGCAGTTAAAGCAAGGAAACTTTTAATTAACTATTTAATCAGAAGAAGTTCTTTCACAACAAGAAAAGGTGAAGTCAATTTTTATTTTTTTCCGAAAGTTAGACGTAGAGCAAAATGAATTGAAAATTCACCTCTGGTTACTGCTTCTTAAACTAGCAGTTCAGAAATGGAAAGATATCCAATTACACCTTTTACAATGTACTATGTCTTTTATTCTCATCGAGTAATAATAATTTTTGTGTCAAAGAATAAAACATTGTGAACGTGATGTTAACAAAGGAAATTCTCTACTCCTACCCCTTGCACCTGTTTTCATGTCGTTTCCATGGCAAGGGGCGCGTCAACAGTGACTAATCGCTATTAAAAACTCGCTCGTCATGTTTCATATAACATCTTCGAAATTAAGCTTACTCCACACCTTAGGAACCCACATACCTTTAATTATCATAAATTAAAGTCAGGGTTTCCTCTTTACATTTTATTTCAGAACTAACTTCCTCTTGCCAATTGATCTTGTCTATCACAAAGCCCCTTGATATTTTCTGTATCTAAACTGAGTATAAGAACACGAGCTTCACGAACATAACCCAACCTATATTTTCCTAGTTATTTCCTATCGCCGTTTACGCGCATGAAAATGAAACTGTAAAATCGTGAGGAGGGATGTTTTTAGTCTTGTCAACGCTGTAGGGCACATTGTAATAATTGTGTGCTAACATGAGGAATCAAACTCTATACTCTATCGATGAGCCACGAAGATTTTGTGGTTAGTAAGGCTGTAACAAAGTTCATTTTTAAACGGGCATACCGCATTCATACTTCTATAGGAAGAGAAAGATCTCTGGGTCAATAACTCATGGGCATTCATATTTTTTTTTCATGTCCCACGCTCGCAACGAGACGGAAAAATCCTCCCTTGTATTATAACAAGCGAACTAAAAAAATCATATATAATTCGTTAACTCACATGGGGCTTTCGATATTGCTGATCCAAGCAGTACTCAGGAAGTGAGTCTCATGTGAAGTTATTCATTTGTAATTACGTTAGGCCAGAGAAAAATCGGCGGCCAAGGAATAATCATTATCCACCTTGGGTTTCGTAGACGAAAGAAATTCGTACGCTTTTGCTTCACAACAGAAGATTTAGCCCTTCTTTGAATAAACCTTATTCTTGAATTATCCTTTGAGTATTCTTGTCTTGCTTTGTCATCGATATTTTTGGGCAGCTGGCAAATTTTGGGCTACCCAGAAAAATAAGCATATTAACTTAGAAATTCGATCAACAGCCGTTGTGGAATTGACCCTAAAAAATTCGGCAGTTTAGCTCTTCATTTCTGAATAGCATTTGATTCGCATGTATTCTTTTCTTTTCTTTACGGAAATTATCTGTTTGCCTTTTTATCACTTTTACTTTGGTTTTCTTTCTTTTCTTTTCTTTTTTTTTCTTGTTTTTTGAAAACAGATCATAAAAAAAATATTAAATGCCCGTGGCGTTTGTTTTCTTCTTTCCAAGACATTCAAATTTATTCAATGGTTCGTAAACAAGTACTGAATAAGTCGTCCACTCGAATTCGAACCCTTCACATAAAGGCTTCATTTCATTGATAAGACAAACGAGGAAAACATCACGGTCCCTCTTTTAAAACCTGGCTAAACCTACTTAGTACCATTGACGGAAGTATTAATTCTCCATCAGGCTTCAGTGAATACGAAAAATCAAATAAGTGGGCCAACATCCTAATCTTCTCAACATCCTGGGATCTTGTGTTTAATTGCATCTGTCAACTTTGGAATTCTCGCCCACTAAGGTTCAGCTGGCATTCTTAACTCAGTTTTAATTTGAGCCTTGACCTGTTTTACTTCCTTGAATAGCATGTTGAGTTTTTCTTAGTTTGAAGTTCACACCCTCCTATTTGAAAACAGCTGGCGTTTCTTTTTCTTTCTTTTTTATTTCTTTTTCATTCAACTTCAAAGAGGGTCCACTGTAGAAAATATGGACATCATCAATCTTCCGCTGATTAACTCTAAATAATTTCATCTTGATTGGTGTAGATTCCGGCAACATTACACTGAGGACCAATACTATGAATCCAAAATAAAAACTGGGCAGAATTATTATTTTCTTTTTGGCTCGGTCAAAGGAAAATTTCTGAATCAAAAAAAAAAGAAAAAAAAAGGAAAAAAAAAGAGGTGGTTTCATATATTATGAGGTGTTGCTTCCAAGGGGTATATGA